GGGGGGGGGGGGGGGGGGGGGGGGGGGGGGGGGGGGGGGGGGGGGGGGGGGGGGGGGGGGTGTGGGGCGGGGGACGGTGGTGCGGGGGTGGGGCACGTGCGGGGGTCATTTGGAGGGGCCGGGGGTCGAGGATCCCCGCGGTAGGGGTGCGGGGGTGAAACCCCCACCCCGGCTTGGAACCCCGGGGATCCCCGCGTGACAACACTGGTTGGCATGGTGACCATGACCCAGTGCTTCGTCCAGGGCCCCTCAGAAAGCTCCGCCCATCTTCTCCCAGATGCTCCACATGAACATTGCCGAATCTCAAGGTTGAGCGCACTCGACACCTCACAATGAGAGGACTCTCAAGAAGGAACACACAACCTCACGGTAAGAAGTGTCGAAGAGGGTAGGTAAGGTTAAGAGCAACGTACTTCAAATAGCTGCCCCCAACCACAAAGATAATCTCACCAGATGACCTGATGGCGATTGCGATGACTAGTCACTGCATCGGCACAACCAACATTATCTCGCTGTTCCACCTCAGCATCAATCGCACATTACCCCACGCAGCCTTCCACCTCAGCATCAATCGCACATTACCCCACGTAGCCTTCCTGGCGATCCTCTCACCTCCTGGGTCGCCAACCACTCGTCTCCGCCCTCCTCACTACACATCACTTACGGCCAAACTCGCCAAGCAGACCGCATGTATGTACCATACCAGGCAAAAGACAAGCGCCAAATGAGCGCAATCGTACCACAACTCCGATACCAAATTGCAAGGAAGATGAGCAATAGCAAACTTCAGCAATCAAACAACATCATACATATGAGTCCAGATAGTCGTGACCTCGAACCAACAGAAGAATTGCATCACGAGTTTCACCAAATAAGAACACACCAAGAGTTCATAATTGACAATGCTGAAATAGTCCCATCATCATCATCAACGAAGAACCAGAGTTGATATCCTATCTGGCGCTCGGCGCTCAGACTACATGTGTCAGATCCTATCTAGCCTATACTACAATGCCGAAGTTGACGACAACAACTCTCCCGAAGTACGAGCATATAGCGACCAATGTCGCACGCTTCCAGCACCAGGTATGCCTCTCGCCTTACTCACAACCTCATTCCTCAACACACAGATGCCACTTGCACCCAAGGACCACCCTGCGCCACACCCAGCTTAGAGCAGCGCAGCTCGGCTATGGCTGCCTGCTCCTTCCCTGCTCGCCCGTGAGCGCGTAGGCGCCAGCCAGCAATTAGCGCAGCAGCAGCGCTTGCGCAGCATGCAGCCAGCACCCGAATGACGAATGTGGAGGCAGGCCCTTTGCTATATCGAAGTGGCCTGCCTGCGTCAAGTCCCAGGAAGCTTCCAGTAGGCCCCTGTAGCCCGAGGCCCAGTCACGATCGAGAACAAGCCTTGGGCCTGAGGTGGTTGCATGCGTCCAACTGCCTTTGGCCTGTGTTCGGCCCAGTACACGTATCCAGCCCAGGGCCTGCTTTCCATACATTCACACAGGCGGCCCAGGGCCTGGGTTCTCTCAACCAACTGGCGCTGCGCAACTGCCTGAATTTCCTTGAGTTGCGTGGTGACCAAAATGGGGCCCTGAGGGCCTCGTCGAGCCTGCCTTCACTTAGGGCGGCCGACTTGCTTCAGAATGGGGCCACAAGGGGGCTCATAGAGGCATTGGCCTCGCAAGTGAAGGCGGGCCAAACAAATTACGAGAGGCCCTTGCTGTCCATTTCGTATTTGGGGTCCAGGCAGTTTCGTCGCACCAGTTGGTTGAAGGAAAACACAGGCCGAGCAGCGTGGAAATTCCCAGGCCTTCTAGGCCTTTCCAAAAGCACAGGCCCTGGGCGAGATTCGCAGCCTCATACACAGATAGTTGGAGAGCCCAACCGAATGAGGCCGAGTAGCTGTACCAGAGGCGCAGGATCTTGGGGCCTACCGGAAGCTTCTGGGCCCAGGCCAGTCCAGACAGGCTGCCGAATGAGGCAGGCTCTTTCCATATAGGAAAGAGCTCGCTTCCTGGCTAGGCATTCGGGCACTCGCATGCTGGCGGCAGCGCTGCTAGAGCTGAAGCTCGTGGGCTGCTGCTAGCGCTGAGCAGCGAGGTGCAGACACGTGCGGTCGTGCAGGGAGCAGGGCGCTACTGAGGGCAGCGCCATAGCCCAGCCTCCATAGCTGGCAGGGCTTGGATGTATAGTGAGGCGCAGGGGTGGTCTTCGGGTGTACAACAAAGGGAGACGTGGGAGAGAGTCAAGGGGGAGAGAGAAGGATGATGATGATGATGATGATGTGAGGGCACATACCTGGTATTGGCGATGGTTCTGCATGGGCGACATCTTCAAGTACTTCGGGTGCTGCTGACGTCAACAGTTGCATTGTCAATTAGTAGGCTAGTAGTAGCTGTGTAGGGAGTAGGCTGGGCGCCAAGCGCCAAGTAGAGAGATAGAGACTGGATACATATGTCGGTGGTGGCAAGAGCAAGCTCTCATTGACATTGACTTTCAGCGCTACGATTCTCCATTGGTGCTATATTGGTGCAATGCTGCTTCCTGAACACTGTGTTACGATCTGGCTTTCAATGTGATTGTGCAATCTGAATATTGTCATCTCGCTTCTGTTCATTTTCCTTGCAATTTGGTATCGGAGCTGGTTCGAACTGCGCTCATTGGTTCTTCGCAAAGTTGTTCGGTGCTTCGCATGAGGTGTGGGGCAGTGATAAGGCTTGGGCGTTGAACGCAAGGCGGCCTAGGGTCGTGTGGGCGTGCCAGGAAGCTATGTTGTGACATTAGGGCTGTACGCTGGATGAGGAGAGCTCGCTGATGTGACATTTAAGCCGAGGTGGAACTACATTCTGCTGTTGGTTGTGCCGAGGCAAAGACCGGTCATCATAAATGCACATCAGGTTGTCGGTGAGAAATATGTGGTTAGGGGCAACATTATGAGGTACGTTGCTTCCTTCCTTATCTACCCTCTTCATTGCTTCTTACCGTGAGGAAGTGAGTTCTGTCTTAAGAGTCCTCTCAATGTGAGGTGTCGCGAGCGCTCAACCTTGAGAGTCGACATTCTTCCTGGGCAGCAAGCTGGTGGGAGACGGGCGATGCCTCTGAAGGGCCCTGGACGAAGCACTCGGGTCACAGTCACCATGCCAACCCACTGGGACTAGTACACGCATGCTTTGCCGCAAGTCCTTGGTACTGCTGCTGCGCAATAGAAGTCATGAAGGACATGCCAGCCCTTTGAACAGACGCTTACCAGACCGTCTTTAAATATTTCTGGTCGGGACTCGGTGTTGATTCTGGCTGTGATCGTCGTCCTGTCTGCGACGTTAAATAATTCCTTAGGAGTTACGACGGATCTCCTTAAATGCCTCTTGATCAACCAGATCAAACCAGTGCATGCGAGGATAAATAATGTGTAGGGGCTGGCAAGTTCGGCGTTGACTTGGGGCACAGGGGTGGGCCGGATTGCACACCTTTAGACACGCTGCTCAACCAGATGGCTAGGAACGTCGACACAAAGTGACTACTCAAGAGGGATACAAGGAAAGGGTTAGATTCCGACAACTGTTTCGTCGTGGGATTAATTAGATAAACAACCATTCAACATACATCTCTGCAGGGAGCATTATTTTTATTTTTGATTACTTAGTTGTTACAGACTTGATTGACAACTGACAGACAGTTGCAGATAGAGTAGAATATTCTTTGCTGCATTGCAATCTGTATTAGAGTAATCTAAAAATAGAATTAATATTCCCTGTAGGATCTGACACTGGCTGACACCTAACTACCTAACTGTTTCTGTCCAGGCCGACCGAAGTTAGTTGTGTATCATAATCGGTTGTGTGTCATGCTGAGGTAGGATTCAGTGTGGATTCTAGTTTAGATCATACGCATTGTAGCTCATGGATGATGCAAGCACTAGTGAGGAGTTGTTAGTGGATGACCGTACGACTACTCATAGAACTGCTCTCAGTCGACCTTTGACTTTCCTAGAGTTAGGTCCAGGAGACGAGAGGAGACTGCGGAAAGAGGCTAGAGAGAGAACAACGGCAAGAAGAGCGAGGGTGGTTGGGGACAGTGCCAGGTCTAGGATTTCAGCTAGCATCGGTACGACCATGGCTACTTCCTCTATCATGTCGAGGCCTCTTCACAGGCCACTTCGTCAGGAGTTAGTGAGAGTGGTTCTCGGGTTTCCATTAGCCAGAGTGCTGGCTTGCAAGTCAGCCAGCAGGCTCAACTCATGTCGGAGGATTATGAGATCCTCCAAGCAGAAGAACTTCAGGATGAGTTGCAGCGGCAGTTGGATGAAGCAGCAGAGAGGAAAAGAAGAGCTATAATGAGGAAAGCTAGACTAGGTAGTAGATTGCAGGAGCTAGGCAAGCTAGAAGCACTAGACGCGTCCACATTAGACCCCGCTATGCAAGCACTGCGGAATTCGCTCCTGTGTGTGGCTGAGATGCAGGTTGTTCAGCAGGAAGTGTTGGATGAACTAGTGGCAGGCCAGAAACGAATTATAGCTGCACTACAGGCTCCTCGTCCAGTGATGAGGCAGCCTTAGTTTGTTGTAGCTCCCCCTTTGGGTGTGGGTCCATCAGTGATGCCGTTGCCGGTAGGGCCTTCATTCTCACCTATGTTTGGCATGCCCCCTCCAGGTGGTTATGTGGTGACTAGTGGTTCGGTCCTTAGAGTCTCAGTCGTACCATCAACGACAGTGCTTACTACAGTCCAACTGTCAAGCCAGGCCCAGGTTAGTGTGCAGCAACCTGTTTCGGTGGCTATGCAGCCACTGCAGCAAGCCCCTAGGCCAATGCAGCCTATGCAGTGGATGCCCAAAATACCCTTGGTGAGTTCTAAGCCCTTCTCCGGCGACAGGAAGAAGGATGAGGACTTAGACACCTAGGTAAGGACGGTGCCTACCTATGTGAGGCACAAGCTTACCAGGCCGGACCAAGAAGTTGTAGTGCCTGCCTCCTTTCTAGAGGGATCAGCAACCCGTTGGTTGAATGGCCTAGTGCAGCAGTTGGGCTACGGTCAGAACTTCGATGCCTGGGCCCAGACCCAGACATTGGAAGAGTTAGTACGGTCCGTGTGTAATAGGTGGCATGACCCACAAGGGGGCCAAAAAGCCACAGATGCGATCAACAATCTTTGTGCCACAAGGTACAAGAATGTTAGAGAGCTCACGGATATCGTAGAACGTCGGCTTGTGGTACCTGGTGTGCGCTATGACCAGCAGGTACTCCTTACAGATTACCTTAGATGTCTACCTTCAGAGGTTAGGACAAAGCTGGTAGATGAAGCCTATGTCGAACAACACAACTTCGCCTCCTTCAGCAAGAAGGCCTTAGACATAGAGGCAAAGTTGGGATCTGCGCATCAGAGTGAGGGAGATGGTAGGAAGAAGAGACTACCCAGGACTGGAAGAAGAAAGGTCAACTAATGTTCGTTGACCATGATGGTCAGGCGAAAAAATTGACGACTTCCCCGACCTTGGGGAGGAGTTAGAGCACGATGGGGCCAACGAGACTTCAGATGGGGGAGTCGTGGCACCCATCAAAGAAAAGGCTAGGGGGACCGGGAAGAAGAAGGTAGGTCGGTCCACGGGTCAGGGCGACCAAGGCACGCACCGCTTGGGTGAAACTTGGTTTAGAGTATGAGGTGTGGAGGAACTGAGTCGATAGGGGCATGTGCATGAATTGTGGCAACTATGGCCACACGTCCCGAACGTGCCGAGGCAAGAAAGTCCTAACGAGGGTAGCCTCTCCAACGGTGGTGGGACTATCTTCGAACCCTGGTGGTGCTTCTGCGAGCACTTCGCAGGGAAACACCTCGGGCCAGTAGGAGTTTTAGCCGCGCTTACCCGCGTTGAAGTGGTAACGTTGCCTTCCCCACTTCAGGCGTTGGCCAGGGCTAGTGACCCACGTATTGCCCCGCAGACACATTTAGACCCACCGACGCTTTGTTCGAGGGATGTGTCTGAGGCCCTAGAAGAGTTAGAGATTGAGTGGTCAGGGAAGGATCCCAGAGACTCTTGGGCGATGATCAGTAGAGGTCCAAAGGGTGAGCATTTCGTGGTAGAGGTTGATGTAGGTGGCCGCAAAGTTGGCGCCTTCGCAGACATAGGCTCTACATGAAACTTCATTAGTCGTGCTTGTGTGGATAGACTGCGCTTAGGGGACCAAGTGCAGCGGCTTAGCAGAACTGTAGCTTCTACGCTAGCCAACAAGTACCAAATGGTAGTTAAAGACTATGTCAAGGACGTGGTCTGTTCCTTCTCTTATGGAGGAGGGGAAGTGAGACATATAAAAAAAAAAATCCAAAAAAACACAAAATTTGACCCCGAAACCCTAATTTCAGGATCATTCATCGTTACCCAGGGCCGAAAAGTGGGGGTCCCCGTTAACCACTTGTGCTTCGATATGCTACTAGGCATGCGCAACCTCAGTTTAATTGGGATAGGAAGATGTTGATACACAAGTTGCCAAATGGCAGGACCGTTAGACTGTAGAAGTATAAGGCTAGCAGTCTAGTGGAGAACTATGCTGCATGTGTGCTTCCTTTTTCTATAACTACTACAAGCAGAATCGCGAGGAGGGCATGTATCTAGTCTTTGTCTCTGAGAAAGGGGAGGTCGTTAATACACCTTCAGAGATAGAATCAGTCGTCGCAACATATTCAGACCTTTTTTAGGAGCCCATAGGCGTGGTAGAAAGGGAGGTGGTCCATGCAATAGAGGTTGTCCCAGGTAGTACGGTGCCTAGAGGACGAATCTATAGGATGTCTCTTATGGAGTTGGATGAGCTCGCCGCGAGCTTAAGGAGCTCACAAACAAGGGATGGATTCGGCCTAGTACCTCCCCTTACGGTGCGCCAATCTTATTTGTCCCAAAGAAGGAAGGTACCTTGAGGATGTGCATTGACTATCGGGGCCTCAATGCCATCACCGTTAAGAACGTGGAGCCCCTTCCCCACATCGACGACCTCTTGGATAGAGTGCACGAATGCCGGTACTTCACCAAGATAGACCTGAAGTCCGGATGCCATCAAATTGCCATTGGACCTGAGGATCGGCACAAAACCGCATTTCAAACCAGGTACGGTCTGTACGAGTTTGTGGTGATGCCTTTTAGCCTATGCAATGCGCCTTGTACTTTCCAGCACGCGATGAACAAGATATTTCATGAATACTTAGACAAGTTTATCGTTGTGTACCTCGACGATATTCTTATCTTTAGTAGGACTGTAGAGGAGCACGCTGAGCACTTGAAAATAGTGCTAGGTCTCCTAAGACAGCACCAGTACAAGGTTAACTTGGAGAAATGCGAGTTTGGTCGCACCAAGATCTTGTACTTGGGTCGTGAAATCTCAGCAGATGGTTTGAGGCCGGATGATGCTAAGGTAGCCAGCATACGTGACTGGCCCAGACCTCAGACTGTTATTGAGGTCAGATCGTTTTTGGGGATGACGGGCTACTATCGTCCATTTGTAAAGAACTATAGTACTATAGCTTCCCCATTAGCAGATCTAACTCGACTGCATACCCCATGGGAGTGGACTGAAGAGTGTGAAGCGGCCTTCAGGAAACTGAAGTATGCCCTAACACACTACGAGGTTCTTGAACTTCCTGATCCTAATAAGCCATTTGTAATGACCACAGGCGCTAGCCAATATGGCATAGGCACGGTCCTTGCGCAAAAGGAGGGGACCAAGTTGAGACCTATCGAGTACATGAGCAAAAAGATGTCGTCTCAGAAACTAGCCAGGTTTACCTTCGAGTGTGAACTTTACGCCCTTTACCGAGCGCTGGTCCACTAGAGACACTATCTCCTTGGCAGATTTTTCTATGTGAGATCTGACCATGAGACACTACGTTGGATCAAAACACAACCGGTACTCTCTGATGCACTTAAGCCATGGATTCAAGTGATAGACATGTATGACTATCAACTTGATCCAATTAAGGGAGAGTACAACTAGGTGGCGGATGCACTATCTCGACGGGCAGATTACCTGGGCGCGCTAGTAACTGAATTTGGCATATCTAATGATCTGACTCGATCGTTGGTGGAAGCCTATCAACAAGATCCAGTTATGTCAAAGATCATTCGTAAATTCCAAGCAAAGGACAAAGTGACTTTGGATGAATTTACAATGGTGGATGACTTGCTGTTTCTTGAGAAGGCAGGGAATAAAAGACTGTGTGTTCCCAGTAGTGAGTCTTTGCGTAATTTATTTTTAGGGAAATGTCACGATGCAACTGGTCATTTCGGTTATAGGAAAACCTCAGCTAACTTAGTACAAAGTTTTGGTAGCCTTCTATGATGGAAGATGCCAAGAAGTATGTAGAAACCTGTCAGGTATGTCAACATGACAAGCCTAGGACTCAGGCTCCGCTTGGGCTCATCAAGCCCTTGCCAATTCCTGAAGGTCCTGGTCAGAGTGTCTCTATGGACTTCATGGATACTCTTGTGACCAACAGGTCTGGGAAAAGACACATCTTCGTTATAGTAGACCGCTTTTCTAAGTATCCAAGACTGATCGCCATGCCAGAGACTGCTAAAACCGACCATGTCATCAGATTGTTCATGGACAACTGGGTACGAGACTTTGCTTTACCTAAGTTTATCGTCAGTGATAGGGATGTTCGCTTTACGAGTGAACTGTGGCAGAACACTGGCCAACAGATGGGAACCGGACTGCAAATGACATTAGGGAATCACCCTGAGTCAAATGGACAGGCGGAACAGATGAACAGAGTAGTGCAGCATTTACTAACGCACTACATTAAGCCAAGCCAGGATGACTGAGACGAGAAACTACCTCTCGTCGCCAGCCTGTACAACAACGCAGTACATAGCGCTACTGGCATGACTCCCAACCAACTGCATCTTGGTTGGAAGCCCCGTTCCGCCCTCGATTTCCTACTACCTGAAAAACAGACTACTGCAGCACCCGGTAGCATAGAATTTGTTGTCACATACGAACAGATGTTGCAGCAGGCCGTTGAGCACATGAGGAAATCACAGGATGCTATGACTGCATCTGAGAATAAACATAGACGACCTTCTAACTTTCAAGTAGGGGAAAGGGTCTGGTAAAGTCATCCGAACTGGGACAAGAACTAGAAATATCTAGGAAACTAATGCCACAATATTTCGGTCCCTGGGAGGTCCTGGACATAGTGGGGGAACAATTGGATGGACCTTCTTATGTGATTCGCGTCCCACCTCATCTACAGACACACCCTGTTTTTCACGCATCCAAACTGGCACCTTTCGCAGAAACTGTACAGTTTCCTTCCAGACGATCAGTGCTGCCCCCAACCATGGATGGCGAAGTGGACATCGACCAGATCGTGGAGCATCGCCTGATGCCTGTTCCTCGACCACCGGGCAGAGGCCGCCCTCCTAAGCCAAAAATGCAATACCGGGTCAGATTCAGACATCATCTGGACCCCAGCGAAGATCAGTGGTTCACCAGAGAAGAACTCATGAGAACTGCACCTCAAGTCATTGCAGGCTACGAAAGAGATCTCAAAGGGAAGATGCCTGCAAAATAGAAGACTTCTCAGAGAACTATCGAAGTACAGGAGGAGGGAATGCGAGGATCTAGGTCCTCGGCAGGCCTAAGGGGCCCCTGAAGCAAATAAGCCCGCCCTAAGTCAAGGCGGGCCAAACAAATCACGAGAGGCCCTTGCTGTCAATTTCTTATTTGGGGTCCAGGCAGTTTCGTCGCGCCAGTTGGTTGAAGGAAAACACAGGCCAAACAACGTGGAAATTCCCAGGCCTTCTAGGCCTTTCCAAAAGCACAGGCCCTGGGCAAGATTCGCAGCCTCATACACAGACAGTTGGATAGCCCAACCGAATTAGGCCCAGTAGCTGCACCAGAGGTGCAGCATCCTGGGGCCTACCGGAAGCTTCTGGGCCCAGGCCAGTCCAGACAGGCTGCCGAATGAGGCAGGCTCTTTCCATATAGGAAAGAGCTCGCTGCCTGGCCAGGCATTTGGGCACTCACATGCTGGCGGCAGCGCTGCTGGAGCTGAAGCTCGTGGGCTGCTGCTAGCGCTGAGCGGCGAGGTGCAGGCCCGTGCGGTCGTGCAGGGAGCAGGGCGCTGCTGAGGGCAGCGCCATAGCCCAGCCTCCATAGCTGGCAGGGCTTGGATGTACAGTGAGGCGTAGGGGTGGTCTTCGGGTGTACAACAAAGGGAGACATGGGAGAGAGTCAAGGGGGAGAGAGAAGGATGATGATGATGATGATGTAAGGGCACATACCTGGTTCTGCATGGGCGACATCTTCAAGTACTTCGGGTGCTGCTGAGGTCAATAGTTGCATTGTCAATTAGTAGGCTAGTAGTAGTTGTGTAGGGAGTAGGCTGGGGGCTGAGCGCCAAGTAGGGAGATAGAGACTGGATACATATGTCAGTGTCGGTGGTGGCGAGAGCAAGCTCTCATTGACATTGACTTTCAGTGTTACGATTTGGCTTTCAATGTGATTGTGCAATCTGAATATTGTCATCTCGCTTCTGTTCATTTTCCTTGCACCTAATAAAATCGCGAAATAAATCACGAAATATTCTTATTTTCAAGAAAATAAAATCACGATTTAAATCGCGGAATATTTCTATGTGAGGAACGAGCCCTGAAGGAGCCCTGTCAGACATCACATGTTCTGGGCTAAGGCCCCGGCAAGCCAAGTGCCCGCCCTAAGTGAAGGTGGGCCTGAATATTCGTCGAAGGCCAAATTTCGACATTTCCATATGTGGGTATTCAGGCTCTCGCAACACGCCAGTTGGTTGGACAAACGCGTCAGCCGTACTAAGCTGCGTCGTACAGTTGGCCCAGGCCTTGACAGTTGTGCCTGGGCACATACAGGCAAACCAGGGCCGATACATTGGGAAGCAGGCCATCGGCCTTTGGAAAAGCAGAACTGCTGACGCACCTACCTGGGGGCCCTGCACAAATGCAGCAAACAACCCAAGTCTAGAGACTCAGGCCATGCCCAAATGAATAGGGCCCAGGCCCTCAACTGTAGTCTTGGGCCTGGGGGCAGGGTTTGAGGCCCAACCGGATGCTACTGGAAGCTTCCAGCCAGGCCACATGCAGCATCCAGGAGGCTGCCACTTCCACAAAAGGAGTAGGGCAGTCCCGGCCAGGATTTTGGCCAGTGCAGGCAATGAGGAAGTGCTGCTGCGCTATCGCTTGATGCTGCGCTGCTGCCAAGGGCGCTGACAGGGCGCGTAGTGGTGAAGTGGGGCGCTGCAGGGCAGCGGGGCGCAGGCAGCCATAGCCGGGCTGCTGAGCGCCAAGGGGTACAGCGGGTGATCTGGTGGTCTTCAGGGAAGGAGGCGCAGTGTGGGGTAATCAAGGTCTGATTGAGGGTGACGAGATACAAACCTGGTGCATGAAGAGAGGTCGGCTATGGAGTTGACAGTCATGTACATTGGTGTTTGAGAGTCGAAGTGAGCCTGTTGCGTGAACCAGCTGTAGGTAGGATAGTCGGGCAGAGTAGGTTGGGCACCAGACAGAGAGGAGCGACTCTGGATACTGTGTTGGTGTGGCCTACGGGCTTGAACATTGGCTCATTACTTCATCGTATTGCTCTACATGGATATGGTTACTCGGTGCATTTTGTACTCTCTGCTTGGATACGACTACCTGGACATCTGTGTGATTTCGCCACATTGGTTTTCTGTATATCGTTCACACTCATATTCCTTGCAATTTGCTATCAGAGTTGGTTCGTGATCGCCGCTTACCTGGCACCGGCGACATTGTTACTTGGTGTGCTGACGATGCTTTATGTGCAGTAAGGATTCTTTGGCATTGGTTTCATTGAGCGGGGCACGGGTAGAGGGGCCGGCCGCTGGAAGGCTGTGGCAACAGCATGGGAGTTGTGGCGACAGCAGGTGTATGCATGATGATGAGAGTATGCTCACATGGCATTTTGGCTGAGGTGGCACTGCATTGCGTTGTGGGTGGTACCACCGGTCATCGAAATGCACGTCGGCCCAATTGGTGAGAAATTTGTGGTTGGGGGCAGCTATCTCCAGGTACGTTGTTCTTATTCCTTATCTACCCTCTCAATCTCTTCTTACCGTGAGGAAGTGAGTCCAACTTGAGTGTCCTCTCTTTGGTGAGGAGTCGTCTGCGCTCTACCTTGAGAGACGACATTCTTCTCGGTGGCGCATCTGGCAGGAGAGGGCGGTGCCTCTGAAGGGCCCTGGTCGAAGCACGGCTCACGGTCACCATGCCAACCCATGGGTAGTAGTACACACAGGCCCTGCTGCTTTGTCCATTGAGGCTCTTTGCTGCGCTGATAGAAGGGGTGTACGGACGTACAAGTCCTACGTAGACGCTCCCAAATCGTCTATAAACATTTCTGGTTGGGGTCTGAACTGTCCACTAGCTGTGATCGTCGTCCTGATTGCGATGTTAAAGAATTCCTGAGGACTCTCGGGGGTTGTCCTTAAATTGCCTCTTGATCAGCCAGATCAGTTAGACGTAAGGCTCGTTGCACGCGAGGGTAAACAAAGGGCAGGCTGGTCATAAGCATACTTCTTGGGCATTGGGGTGGGCCATGGTTGCACACCTTAGACACCGCAGCTTGATGATGCTCACAGGTATGTTGGATACAGGGGAAGGGGATTCCAATTTAGAACTCAACTGTACATCACTATCTTATCCATTGTGCATACATCTGCTCATTGTAGTTTATTTTTATTTTGATTAGTTGGTTGACAAACTGCTAACACCTAATAGACAACCTAGAGTAGGACTGTAATCTACCATAGTCAGTTCTTCTTAAAGCTTATGTGTAGAACTAATCAAAGATAGAGGTGAATGTACAATTTGTGTAGGTGTTGTTGTTGCCACTTGACTGATAGTCTAGGTAACTCACCGAACATAAATTATTTATTTATTTTTAGAACTGGTCAGACGCATGCTGCAGTAGGTCCCAAAGAGGATATTAGTGCAGACAGCGTCTGCCTAGCCCATGAGTGGATCATAGGGTGCTGAAGGGACAACTGACGATAGGAGGCAGACACGACGGGAGACCGGTAGGATATCTGTTGTGTTCTAGGTTCTACTACCAGGAGACGAGAGAAGGCTTAGGGCCGAAGCAAGGGCCCGTAATCTAGAGACTGCGAGAGAGGCAGCAGCGGCAGCTGAACGAGCGTTGGCAGCAGTAGCAGCTAGCGCGGTAGCAATGGCTACCTCTTCATCCACCTCTGTTGCAAACTCTACTGGTCAGAGTTTGGGTATGCCACTCAACGCGACCAGTTCACAGTCCATCTTCAGTACGTCAGGAGCCGGCACTAGTCAGATGGCAGGTTCGCAGTTCAGCTCGCCGCCTCCACGCACCCGGGAGCAGATGGAGCTCCAACAAGTAGAGAGGATTCGCTTGAGGCTAGAGGAGGAGCTTAAACAGGCTACTAAGAGAGAAAAGGAGATTAGAGACGGGAGTGTCAGACTAGAGGGTAGAGAGGCAGACAAAGTTGCACTGGAGGGGTTAGATGACTCGACCCTTAGTAATACTGAAAATATTTTTAAGGCAAGCATCCTTTCCATGCACGCATACATGGACAACAAACTGGATACAATTTAGGACACCTTGGACCACATCCTGAACGCCATGCACAGACCAGGAATCAGGCCAACAATCTTGCCATCGCTGCCATTCTCAGCGATGACAAACCCCTATGCCGCTTTGTCCGGACCATGACCAAGTGGTACATCAGCAGCAACCCTTTCTCAGAATGTTGCTTCTTCATCTTCTGGTCCAGCGACTGGAGCTACACCACAATCGCTACCTGTCCCGCCAGCGGGACAGCAGTTACCTTGGTACCCCAAAACCCCTGAAACCACCTCCAACCTTCTCAGGAGACAAGAAGAATGAGGCTCTCGACACGTGGTTGAGAACGGTGTCAGTGTGGGTGCGGGTAAAGAGGACATTGGTAGAGGAGGAAGTGATTACTGCTGCATCCTACTTAGAGGATTCAGCAGCTCGCTGGCTAAATGGATTGGTAGCTTCGAAGGGGTTCGGCAGGAACATGGGTGATTGGGCGCAGACCCACACCTTAGAAAGCTTTATGGATTTAGTGGAAGCACGATGGCACAACCCTCGGCAGGCACAAATTGCCACTGATGGGCTGTTAAAGCTTGACGCTAGGAAGTACAAGTCAGTGCGAGAGCTTACCACGACCGTAGAGCGTCTGATTGTTGTCCCAGGAGTGGAGTACAATCCACAGGTCTTATTGACCATGTTCTTGAGATGTCTTCCCACAGACATCAAGAACTTACTGGCCAACGAGGCTCGGCTAGAGTATCACGCGTTTGAGACATTCAGTAAGAAGGCCCTAGATTTAGAGGCTACGTTGGGTGGTGCTCAAACCCCCACTACGGACGGTATAAAGAAGAAGGATCCACAAGAGTGGAAGAAGAAGGGTAGTTAATTGATGATGGTTGATTATGACGGGAATCAAACTGAGATCAATGATGTTTCTGAACTTGTGGAGAGTGCAGAGTTTGATGGCGAGGAGAGTGCTGAGGGTAGCAACCTCGCCGCAGTAGTTAAGACTAAGGCAGCGAGCCGCGGCAAGGGTGGTCAACGAAGGAGTTAGGGGCAGGCCGCTAACCCAAACAAAATAGTTGCTTGGGTTAGAGCAGGCTTGGATCAAGAAGTGTGGTGGGATCGTTGGTCTTGCGGTGCTTGTATTAATTGCGGTGAGTATGGTCACACACAGTTCAAATGCAAGAACCCGAAGGTCTCACAGAAGATCCCTCCTAAGGGTGGGTTTCCTTCTTCTCAATTTGGGGCCTCTACGAGCTCCAGCTCGGGAAACACTTAGGGCCAGTAGAAGTTATAGCTGCTTCTACTCTCGTTGAMGCGGGTGATGTACCCTCCCCGTTTCAAGAGATGGCCAAAGCTATTGACTCCTTAGTCACCACGAAGACGCAACCGGACCCAACTATACTCTGTACGTTGGATGTGTCTGAGGCCTTAGAGGACCTTCAAGGTGAGTGGTCGGCAAGGGACCCTCGTGAGTCCTGGGTGGCACTGAGTAGAGGTCCTAGAGGGGAGCACTTCGCTGTGGAAGTTGATGTGGGTGGTCGCAAGTGCGGCGCCTTCGTAGACATTGGCTCCACGCGAAACTTCATAAGTCGCGATTGCGTTGACAGACTGTGCCTAAAGGACCGTTAGACTAGCGAAGTATAAAGCTGGTAGGTTGATAGACTATTATGGGTGTTTGTGCGCATCGATCTTCTACAATTATTATAAACAGAACCAAGAGGAAGGTATGTACTTAGTCTATGTCTTTGCGAAAGGGGAGGCCGTTAAAACACCCCCAGAGATAGAGACCATCATCGCTAAGTACCCCGATCTGTTTGAGGAGCCTACAGGAGTCGTAGACAGGGAGGTTGTCCATGCCATAGACATCATCCCAGGTAGCAAGACACCTAAGGGAAGAATCTATAGGATGGCTTCGGTCGAGTTGGACGAGCTTCGTCGGCAACTGAAAGAGCTCACAGAAAAGGGTTGGATTCGGCCTAGCACTTCCCCTTTTGGCTCACCACTATTATTTGTTCCAAAGAAAGGGGGAACACTAAGGATGTGCATTGATTATAGAGGCCTCAATGCCATCACCGTTAAGAACGTAGAGCCTCTCCCACGCATCGATGACCTATTGGATAGGGTGCAGGGGTGTAAGTACTATACCAAGATAGACTTAAAATCCGGCTACCATCAGATTGCCATAATACCAGAGGACAAGCACAAAACCGCATTTCAGACGAGGTACGGTCTGTACTAGTTTGTGGTGATGCTCTTTGGCCTTTGCAATGTGTCGGGTACATTCCAGCACGCCATTAATAGGATCTTTCATGACTACTTGAATAAGTTCGTTGCCGTGTACCTCGAGGACATACTCATCTTTAGTAAGACTGTCGAGGAACATGCTCAGCATGTAGACAAGGCACTTTTACTCCTTCGGCAGCACAAGTATAAGATGAACCTAGAGAAATGTGAGTCCGGTCGCACTCGAATCTTGTACTTGGGTCATGAAGTATCCGCGGATGGGATTAGGCCCGAAGATGTGAAGGTGGCTAATATACGTGACTGGCCACGACCCCAATCTGTAACTGAGGTCAGATCATTCTTGGGGATGTGTGGTTATTACCGCAATTTCGTAAATAATTATAGTACGATCGCATCTCCCTTGACCGATCTAACTCGACTTGACACACCATAGGACTGGACCGACGAGTGTGAGGCAGCTTTCAAGCGTTTGAAGCATGCTCTCACACACCATGAGGTTCTCATGGTACCCGACCCGCAAAGGTTATTTGTTGTAGCCACTAACGCAAGCCAATATTGCGTTGGCGCAGTGCTACTCAGTAGGAAGGGAAAAAGTTGAGACCGGTCGAGTACATGAGCAAAAAGATGCCATCAAAGACGTTGGCAAAGTCCACCTACGGGAGGGTACTCTATGCTCTCTACAAGGCACTTGTCCAGTGGAGGCATTATCTGTTAGGAAGGTTCTTCTACTTGAGAACTGACCATCAGACCCTCAAGTGGATCAAGACATAACCCGTTCTCTCCGATGCACTCAAATGTTGGATTGAAGTCATAGATCAGTATGACTTCAAATAGACTATGTGAAAGGAGAGTACAACAAGGTTGCAGATGCGTTGTCTAGAAGGGCAGATTACCTAGGTGCGCTGATTTCCGAGTTTGGCTTGTCCAAGGACGTTACTCAATCTTTGGGGGAAGTCTACAAGGAAGATCCCATCACGATGGACATCATCAACAAACTGCAGGCCAAAGATAAGGCCACCCCTGACGAGTTTGTGATGATGGATGGCCGCTGAACAGATGGGCAGCCAGCTGCAGATGATTTCTGGGAATCATCCCGAAGCAAATGCGCAGGCTGAACATATGAACCGTGTGGTGCAGCATCTGCTGAGGCATTACATTAAGCCCAACCAAGATGATTGGGATGAGAAATTACCTCTCATCGCCAGTCAGTATAACAATGCTGTACACAACACCACCGGCGTCAGTCCTAATCAACTGCATCTGGGATGGAAGCCTAGGTCTGCTGTAGACTTCCTCCTGCCTGAAAACCGGACTGCTGCAACTCCTAGAACCATCGAACTTGGTGTCCAGTATGAGAAACTGTTGCAGCAGACCGTCGAACACATCAAGAAATCTCAGGAGGCCATGATTGCCTCTGAGAACAAGCGTCATCGACAGTCCACATTTCAGGTAGGGGAACGTGTCTGGGTCAACGCTAGTGAGTTGGGACAGGAGTTTGGCATCTCTAGGAAACTAATGCCCCAATATTTCGGTCCCTGGGAAGTCTTAGACACTGTGGGGAATGATTTGGATGGTCCCTCGTATGTCATTTGTATCCCTGGTCATCTACGCACTTACCCTGTTTTTCACGCCTCCAAGCTTGCACCTTTCGTTGAGACAACACAACTCCCAGCACGGAGATCTATGCTGCCCCCAACCATGGATGGCCACGTCGACGACGTCCTGGATCACATAGACATGCCTGTTCCCAAGCCACGTGGCAAGGGAAGAACTCCTAAACCTGCAAGGGAGTACAGAGTACATTTCAGGCATCATACTGATCCAAAGGAAGATCGATGGATTTCAAGGGAGGAACTTGTCAAGACAGCTCCTCAGATCGTGGCAGATTATGAGAAGAAGCTAAAGGGGAAGGCACCAGCATGAAGCATCTCAACGGACTTTCAAAGCTAAGGGGGATGGAATGTGAGGAACGAGCCCTCAAGGAGCCCTGTCAGACATCACGTGTTTTGGGCTAAGGCCCCAGCAAGCTGAGTGCCCGCCCTAAGTGAAGGCGGGCGTGAATATTCATCAAAGGCCAAATTTTGACATTTCCATATGTGGGTATTCAGGCTCTCGCAGCACGCCAGTTGGTTGGGCATACGCGTGAGCTGTACTAAGTTGCGTTGTACAGTTGGCCCAGGCCTTAATAGTTGCGCGTGGGCACGTACATGCAAAGCAGGGCCGATACATTGGGAAGCAAGCCATCGGCCTTTGGAAAAGCAGAACTGCTGACGCACCTACTTGGGGGCCCTGCACAGATGCAGCAAACAGCCCAAGTCCGGAGACTCAGGCCATGCCCAACTGAAAAGGGCCCAGGCCCTCAACTGTAGTCTCGGGCCTGGGCGCAGGGTTTGAGGCCTAACCGGAAGCTACTGGAAGCTTCCAGCCAGGCCACACGCAACATCCAAGAGGCTGCCGCTTCCACAAAAGGAGTAGGGCAGTCCAAGCCGGGATTCTGGTCAGTGCAGGCAATGTGGAAGTGCTGCTGCACTATCACTTGATGCTGCGCTGCTGCCAAGGGCGCTGACGGGGCACGTAGTGGTGAAGTGGAGTGCTGCAGAGCAGCGGGAGCAGCGGGGCGCAGGGAGCCATAGCCCTGCTGCTGAGCGCCAGGGGGTATAGCGGGTGTTCTGGTGGTCTTCAGGGAAGGAGGCGCAGTGTGGGGTAATCAAGGTCTGATTGAGGGTGACGAGATACGAACCTGGTGCATGAAGAGAGGTCGACTATGGAGTTTACAGTCATGTACATTGGTCTTCGAGAGTCGAAGTGAACTTGTTGCGTGAACCAGCTGTAGGTAGGATAGTCGGGCAGAGTAGGTGGGGAGCTGGGTGCCAGACAAAGAGGAGCGACTCTGGATACTGTGTTGGTGTGGCCTACGGGCTTGAACATTGGCTCATTACTTCATCGTATTGCTCTATATGGATGGTTACTCGGTGCATTTTGTACTCTCTGCTTGGATACGACTACGTGGACATCTGTATGATTTCACAACATTGGTTTTCTGTATTTCGTTCACACTATAAATCGGGAAATAAATTGGATTGATACTCTGATTATCAAGAAACTATAACGCGTAAACTAAAAAAATAATTTCGTGGAATATTCAGAAGAAATCACCGAAATAATTCCGCGGCATATTCCAAGTTCCGAGAAAAAAATCACTCGCGATTCTCAGAAATTTTCGATTTCATGATTACGAATTTTGCGCAAAACAAGGGGTTTCGATTTCTGAAAAAAAAATCCAAATGACAACTAGGCAGATTTGCGATAATCAGAAAATAATAATGAATTAACCAATCAATCAATCAATCAGTCAATCAATCAATCAATCAATCAATCAATCAACCGATCGGTCGATCGGGTTGATTGATTGATTGGTAATATAGGAGTCGAGATTCACAAGCGCAACTCCGATACCAACTGATACATGCCTAATTGGGTGATGTATGGGAGCCAAGGATCCGCAAAGTGATGAAACGGGCTCGTATGGACAATGCAGTGTCAGCCAAGCATCAACGAGCAATGTACATCAAGATACATATGGAAATAGCACAATGTAGTGCAACGGAAGACTCAAGATATGATATGACTTGTCAGATACTGACGCAACACCCCATCATACACTACACAATGTCATGTGTGAGTGAGAGGAGGGACCACATACGTAGGAGAAAGGTCCCTCCTTGCACATGCACATGGTGGGAGATACCACGGACGAGAGATGGGGGGAGGTGAGACGAAGATGGAGGCGAGGGAGAAGACCAAGATGCTATAGCGAAGTCCAAAAAAATAGTTCCTGGCCGAGTGTCCAATCAATGTATGCCGCAAAAAAAATGGTCGAATCAGATCCTGGGCATATGCCCGTGAAACCTCTGCCTGAATTCTCTCTCTCTCTCTCTCTCTCTCTCTCTCTGAAAGAAGAAGAAGAAGAAGAAGAAGAAGGAAGGAAGAAGAAGAGGTGGAGGGCGAGAACAGATAGAAGAAGAATATGATGTTGTCCTCCTCAATTTCTCACCTGCAGGTAATTGTTGTCAAGTACTGACCCGCGTACGTTGTGCTGCAGGTCGTTGGAGCCAAGTCCAGCTATGGCGCCCAGGTACGTACTCGAACACTGCACGTATGACCTTTGCCCTGTCGCCCTACCTACTCCTCTACCTCTCACGCAGCGCAACGTTGTCGCGTGCGGTGCTGGTCCAACAGCGTGTCACCCAAGAAGTGAGCTAGTCGAACCGTGTCTTTGCCCAGCCGTTGCCCAGCTATAAGTAGCACTGGGCCTGGCTGGGCGCGCCTGATGCTGGCCTCAAAACGGCCCACTCGGTCCGGGCCCCTACCGGGCGTCGAGACCATGCTGCTGATGCAGCAAGGCACAAAAATGCGCCTGGCCTGAAAACGACCTCGCTCCTGTGTACCCACTCCAAGGCGGAGCCTTGGGGCCTGCAAGTCCGAAATGTCGTCTGCACAAACAAAAACAGGACAGCAAATAAATAAGTAAATAAATAAATGTTGCGTGTAGTCGAAACCTGAGGCCTGGGGGCCGTCGTGGGCCTCCAGGGCGTGTGTTTGACGGGCACACGGCCTGGCGGCCCCTCAGCAACCGCCGGGCCCTTGAAATGGGGCCCGTGTGCAGGCGCAGCATGTAACAGATCCAAAGGCTACCACCCGGTACAAGGGAGTTCGCGATACAACACGAGAAAGAGACAGCTAACGTGGTAGAAAACCTCAGGAAGGCCCAACACAAGATGATAGAACAAAAAAGGAAGAAGAAAGAAAGAAGAAATGACAGCGTTCTACGCAGAACAGTACTGCAAGACCAAGAAGGAATAAACACAGTAAGGCAAGGATGCAAGAAAGGAAACAAGCAGCGACTGGAGATCAGACAGATACAGAATGCCAACTCTACCCGAGACGTACAACAAGAAAAAGAAGGAGGAATATCCAAAAGCGTCTCAAGGAAAAGAGGGGTCAAAACAAATCCTGAAAGGAAGAGAGACTGAAGGGAAGGGGAGAGAGGACGGTACTAGGGAGGAAGACCAAAGAACGCAACTAGTCCTTCAAGCAGAAATCCTGAGTGCACAAGTGGAAAGACTGGGTCACCTCAACGACGAGCAAAGGCTAAAAGCAACGACGGTGGAAAGCTTAAATGACCAGACATAGTATGCATTCTGGGAAAAGGTGAGGGAAGAGAGCAGAACACTCCTCCCTTCAAGGACAGTGATCCCAGTAAAAATGGACTCCACCAACGAGCGACAGATTGCAACCACTCCCAACTTTTCACTCCTAAGATTGGAAAAGGGTCAAAGCAGAGAAGAATTGTTGACGAAGGCCGTACCCGGAGCCAAGCCGACCGCAGTACGACTGGTGGGAGTACTCCTAAGAGTACAAGAACTGGGGGAGAAAACCGAATCCTGGGAAGGAATCGGCTTGGACACTCGTCCAATAGTAGCACTGTACGACCCAGAAACGACCTTGGGAGAGGACTTGCAATGGAGACCCTGGTGGGAGATTGCCCAACTTCCTTTCACAGCACTGGGATCCGAGACCACATTGATCCAAGCAGCAGCCAGCCTGGCAACAACACTGGCAGCACAAACCTTCAACAAGGAAGGAAAGGGCATGGAGGCGCTAGAGTACAGAATGGAAGAGGATACGGGGGAGTCCTCACTAAGCCAGGACCCCATGCAACTCCCCACCCTCTCACCATAAAGGAATTATCACTCAAAGAACTTTCAAACCTCTAACCCGAACAAATGGCACAAGCCAGCGCGAGACAAGGCAACTGGGCTACCAAAACACCCAGGGCCAGCAACAGGGAAAGAGGAGAGTTGGAAATCAGATTATGGAATGTAAGAGCTCTAGCAACCATCCTGTCAACACCAGCAAAATGACACAGTTTCGTCACCACAACAGGCTGGTTGGACAACAGACCACCAGATCTCTTCTGCATCCAAGAAACTCATATGTCCACAACAGAGGAACACCTAAGCACACTCAAAGAGATTCTAAGAAGACTGAAACACATCAAGCATGCAGAATGGGCAGTGAGCCCCACAACAGCCTCAACAGGAGTATTAACAATTGTACACGAGAAAGCAGACGCCTCCCAACTACTAACAATAGGAATTTCCACGAGCGACACAGAAGAAGGCCGCTGGACAAGAACAAACTTCGCCTACAGGGAAGAAGAGTTCTCCCTACTCAATATATACGCGCCAAACACCAATACACAAAGAAGATCTCTCCTTGAAAGAATAAAGCAGGAATGCCCACGACACAGACACCTAATCCTAGTAGGGGACTGGAACGCCACAGTAGAACCAACATTAGATAAAATTTCACACGCTAGGGAAGCAACAAAGGAATCGAAAGCTCAAGTAATGGTAGAATTCCTCACAGAAATGAACCTAAGGGACCCATATAGAATGCTAAACCCAACAATAAAGGACTATACATGCATTAGTAAAACATCCCAAGATAGAACCTCATTCTCCAGAATAGACTACTTCCTCAACTCTAAAACTCTAGAGGGCGTAGCTAAACGGGCATCAATATTCAAGCTCCCCCACTATGGAGAATTCGACCAAGTCAAATAGGTCTGCACCTCACTTTCTCCCTAGACAACACGCCGGGCAATAGTTTTTTTTAAGTAAACAATTCCCTAATCACCTTGGACCATTTTAAAACAAGGATCAAACAAGTTTGGGAACTCCACAAGCAGGAAAACAACAACACTGACATCCTATATAGCTTCCCAAAAGCAATCCAGGCAATAAGCAGTTGGGCTAAGAAAACATCCCGAATAGAAGCCAAGAAAAGGAAAGCGAGACAAAAAATGTTAGAAGCGGTAGTAAAAACAACTAAATTCAACCAAATAAACAATCCAGGAGAACAAATGTACGAACATCTACTAACAGAAGCAAGAGAAGAACTCAGCAGATGGGCGGACTGGA